TGAATTACATTATAAGCGATAGGTGGATAGGCTTTCCAATGAATGTCTCAGTCTACGAAAAAACACAGACTGTATCACCATGTGTTGTAAGATAGCCTCGATATGTTTGACATTTATCCCAAACGTGAGTTGATAGTGTTCATCGGTGATTCAGTGGTAGGAGACTGGTTAACTGATCGGTTGGGTCTAGGGTTCGATCCCCAACCGACGCACCCCTTTACCTCACTTGTGACTGACTGGTTTCAACATAGAACTTTGTACAGATGTGTAGCAGTTCGAGTTGGCACACTCTGCACCCCCCTTAGTCGGTAGTATGCCCAGTAAAGAGCGAAGGTTACGCATGAGGCTAGCAACCTCATCCCGTAAAATAAAAACCACTGCTAATGAAACTTCAAAGATCTGATTTGAAGCCCTATTTTCCACTGAGAGCTCAGAGGAATAAAAGAAGAAGAAAATTAGTTGATAGTGAACGAAAACTAAAATTTGCGAAGCAGAAAGAAGCACTCATTTTCACTGATTGTTTGTTTTTTGCTTTATAACACGTCTCCCTGAATTCTCATGATAAGCTGCTGTCAGGGTGGTCTTATAGAATCACATGAGAAGACAGCTACCTACAGGTAATAATAATAAAATATCTCGCTGTCAAACCTATATAGACAATGTGATTCTGCCTGACTAGTTGAATAACACAGCCGTTAGTGAACGATTTAGTGATTCTAGAATCCATAATAGAATGAAAAGGTCTTCCTCTTGTCACAGCATATTAAAATGATTTGCAGAATTCAGTATTGTTTCACAGTTAGTTTGGTTTGCTCATCGATTATAATCAGATCTGTTTCTAACTGAGATTTTTGTTCCTTTGTCTGAACGAACTTTTGCTGTTTTCATTCTCCTCAAATTGTTCTAGATGTTCAAGTATTGGTTTGTAGGGATTTGGTTGATCGGTTACAGGATTTCATCATGAGCTGACAATGATTAGAGAACCATTGGAAAACAAGCCAGGGAGTACTGGACAGCTGTTTCGTCCTATTTCGGGACTCTTCATCAGTACGCACCCACCACCAGGGTTCGAACCCAGGACCTTCTGGTTACAAGGCTAACGAGCTCGTATACCACTAGGCCACGGGGACCCGATTCAATTGCCCATGAATTCTAACTTCTGCCAATTCACGATATAACGCTACCGCTAGCCAATGTCTTCGGCGAGTAATTGTCCTCACACCCGACCTGCTGCACCCTACTGGTCACGAGTTCAATAGGAAATAACGTAGATTCATCAGACTCGAAAAAATGTTTCAGTTTTAATTTGAGCTATGTGGACGGTCTTCAAGATGACTAAGAACCAATGGTTGGAGACTATATTAGTCACCTGGCTCAAAATAGCTCTCAGTGGTGTAGATATATTCACTCTTTATGCTGTCTATGATTTATTATGCCTTCACTATTTATTATCCATGTAATTACACTTTCTCTAAGACATGTTAAGTTAAACTGCTGCACTTTTGTGCATAGTTATGCTTTGGAAATTTAGTCAGGTCCGTACAGTAAGATAGTATCGATGATATTAGATGATTGGAGACAATCAGCAGAAAGCTTTGAGGATTTAGCTTTTGTGCTGGTTGACACTCACCAGTCAGCAAGGCATATCGGCAACCTTGAAGGAACTCATGTCCCTTCTGAGATTCGAACCCGCGTCATCACCCAGTGCTGCAGTCATTCAGAGAAGTTACCACTGAGCGATTTGGCTTCGAAATTCACCTCTTGTAGGACTGTATTAGATGCTTCGATTGGACATTAGTTAGTAACTAGCGCAATTTATCTAGTTCAATCATCTAATATAAAAAATTCAAAGTGCACCGTGATGGTGAGCCACCTAATGGCATCAAGGCCACAATGCGAATATGTCTGATAGAATTCAGTTGGCACCAAAACAATGGACTAGACTAGACACATTACACTAGTTACTAACTAGTGTCTAAACACAGTAAGATATACCAACTTGTGAGAAAACAAAACGAACATGTTTTGAAGATGTCTTTAGTAGAACATAAATTGAAATCTCTGCGTAACACCATATTAAACAGAGGATATCCATTTAGGCCTATAAATCAAAATAATGTATGGGGAAAAGCTCCAATAACGAAGGCACAAACTGTCGCTAAGAGGATTTTTCTTATGAACCTGGAATTGAATCAGTCACACCGTAGCGGAAATCCCCATTAGCAATCTGCTAACCATTTTAAGTCCATTTTATGTACGTTAAGGTTTATTTGATCATTTTCCCTTTCTATTACACAACACCACCTGACTTCCGGTAGCTGATTTCTACTTGTCAAGATTAATCCTTTCTTCTCCAGAAAAAATTAACGGTTATTTGATTGGTTCGATGAATTTGACGTTGAATACAAATGAGAGTAAACGGCTTTCCTCGGTTTCGTCTTCTTTCTATGACTCTGCATAGGAAGTTTCTTTACCCACCACCGAACAACAACAAGCACTGATCACTATCAACAGAAGAAATTTAAAAGAAGTTTTCCCTCTCTCTCACTCTCTCGCTTACTCACCAGATTCACACCCACAACATTAATGTCAGGTTAGTGCTTTACTATGATTCAGAGAATTGGCGCTCGAGTCACGAAAGCCGTTTCCAACAAGCCACTGAAGACTTTCATCAACACAAGCCTTCTTCACTCGACAGTGAAGATCAGCTGGCCGTCCAGAAACAATAAGCAACAAGGAATTTTAGGAACGGACAAACCAACAACCTATCACCAAAGAAATTTTGCCTAAAGAAACGAAGTTGAAATGGACATATGCTGAGGAGACACCATTAGATGAAATCATAAGCCAGACCCTCAAATGGAACCACAAGAATAAACGACGGGTTGGTCATGAGTCTGAGGGTGACATGGAGGAGATCGTGTGAGGAGGAATTGAATGCCTATGTGCAATCGTGGTGACTGCAGAGAAAAAGGGGAAATAGAGGTGTGTTATTAAAGTTCTATGTTCCACTTGGAACCCAAAGAAGTTATAATTTTTTAAAGTATATAGCTAATGAACAATTCTGACTACTAGAACAAAGTGCACAACACAGTTTATTTATTGTGCTTACTGACACACGTAAGCAAGATGTATTTGCAGTCTCGAAGGAGCTGGTGTCTCCCCTCGGAAGTTTGAGCCCACATCACCTAGTACTGCAGTCAGAGAAGTTATAACTCAGGTGTAAAGACCAATACTTATCAATGTCACTGAATGCCACAGAATATACAAACCAGTATGGCAGAAGATAATAAAAACAACAGTTACACAATGAGTAATGAAGCACCTATTTATCAAGGGAGCAGAGAATAGTAATAGCATGTATTCCCTTGAATGTCTACAATTCAAGACTTTCAAAATGAGACAAAACAGTAGTTCAAAGACTTTCATATTTAAAGATACTTTGTAATAAAAGCTACATTGATATTTTGTCCAAGTCAATTTTGTTTTTCTCGTTGATTGATTGAACCGAAATGTCTCACCACTGTTGACATGTCAACTCCTAGTACGGATGCTTCGACAATGTCTGTGAACTTCCATGATATTGTCATTTAGTGGATGATGACAAGCTGAGGAATCTAGAATGCGCTTTCGTTCTATTTGAGACTCGTCAGGTGGACGTACTTGTAATTCTTAGTGGGTGAGATTATCCCCATTGGGACTCGAACCCAATGCCCCCTCATTTCAAACATCAGTGTTATCCACTAGGCCATTTGAGCCACAATCTCACTGCTAGTCACCATTCTCCAAATAGTATCATATTAATCCTCGCACACTGTTGAAGCAGTCGTAATAGGGGACAATATGACAACCGAACAATTCGGTTCAAACAGTCAAAATTGACTTAAACAAAGTAAGGATTTATCTCCCCTGTACAGGAAGTAGCTCTGGTGGCCCAAGTGACGGAGTAGATAATACTTTGGAGTTTGAAATAGATGGGTTGTAAATTCGAGTCTCACTGGGAATACCATCACTCATTGAGGATTAAAGGCATATCCAGGCGACAAATCTCAGTCAGATAGCACGAAATCCACATCTTCCATTCCACCGTTAGTCACCATACACCAAATAATGGTTGAATGAAATCAAGAAAGTGCATTTACAAAGCACTGATGTTAGGGCACAAAAAATATACTCCTATAAATAAACTCATACATACGTAGAGGCGGGCACCTTGTATGCACTCGAAATTGTTTTGGTTATATAACCTATGTACAACGGATTATTATTATTATTACTGTTCCGTTGTGTTCCGAGTGAACCATAGGGCTTCAGCAACACATCCCCACTTTGTTCTATTATTTTCTGCGGTCCTCTTTAGCTGGGCCCACGACTGTCCATAGTCTGTTGTCTCCTCTTCTAACGATCTGCTATATATCACCCGCGGACTCAAACCTAACTCGTCGTTTCCTATTCAGGTTCCACACGAGCGATCACCTGCCATTCAACGGCCTTCTTCATTTTCTTCATCATATTTGTTGAGCAATAGATTCTTGGTTGGTTCGTTCTCAGAGTTTCTTGTTACAAGTGTTTTCTGGTCAGCGACTTGTTCTTAACTATGAAGTCAGCAAAGGCAGGAAGCTGTTGATAAAAAGTCTGCTTTCCGTGAGGCGCTCGCCACGTTTCTGAGCCATATAGAACTACAACCTCGGCAAGTCTACTAACTCACTAGTTTACTAGTCGGTCCCAAGCCTGAGAAACAGCGACCCTCTATCACGGAAAATCAACCAACTAAACTGCTACAGAAATTTCAATGTAAAACAAAAACACCAAAAAAATGCAAAATAATTAATAAAATAAGGCACAATAGGAGATGCATGACCCAAATATTTTAAATCAAATACTAAAACACAAGCATTCGAATCAACATCGCACATCATCGAAACCCACCGCATACACACAACGCTTACTAACATTCAATAAATAAATAAATGAATAAAACAAAGGCGTAAACACCTTACTTAATGGTGGGGGTGTATCCAATTTATTCTTATGCAGTAGTTCTAAACAATCTTTCAATGAATCAATAACATCGTCATCATCGAACAAGAAATCTTTAGCTAATTCATCTTGAAAAAACGATGTCATCTGCATTTGATCCATACGTAATAATCTTTCTGTCAAACAAAAAGAAATAAAAGAGATAAAATAAACATTTATGCACTGTAGAGTAAACAATGTGGCAAAAGTTTATTGTGAACCAGGGGGGAGGGGTGGCGTTGAGGGATCAGAAAAGAAACAAAATAAAAATGACCAAGTTTATACTACATGGACGAAAGGTAGGGCGCATCTTTATCTTTCGTTTGTTTTTGGGGTTATTATTATTTCTGATTTAACCAACGAACACATTTAGCGATAGTATCGAGAATATGAACTAAGGTACTGTGAAGAAATTTCTCATATACTTACTTACTTTGTCGCTGGTATTACCCACGCAGTTCCCTAGGCTGATATTAGGTGGATTGTAACTCGAACACAGAAATCGGTGGCTGCTGTCAGCTGAGTGCTTCCTCCAGCCGGTAAGCGAGGCAATTTGGAAACTACTCGACTACTACGGCGTACCCCAAATATTCATCAACCTTATTCAATAGCTGTATGACAACGGCACATGTCAAGTCATCCACAATGGAAAACTCAGCGAAGCGTTTGGAGTAAACACAGGAGTCAGACAAGGGTGCTTATTATCACCAATGATATTCCTAATTGTGGTGGACTGGATTATGCGTCAGACAGTGGGAAACGAGAAGACAGGGATATCATGGACCGACGTGAAGAACCTAGAAGACCTGGATTTCGCGCGTGGATGATTTGTGTTTGATGTCACACAAAAAGTCGATGACTTACAAGCAAAAACCAACAAACTGGTCGAAGAAGCAGCCGGTGAAGACAGGACTGTAGGTGAACATAGACAAGACGGAGGTTATGAAAATAACCAACCAACAACAACAACAGCAGCAACATCCAGTGACATTCACCATCAACGGGAGGGATTTGAAAGAGGTTACTTCTTTCACTTATCTAGGGGAGCATTGTCTCAACTGCAGGAGGAACGGACGAGGATGTCAAATCGAGAATCGGGAAAGCGAGAAACACATTCATCAACCTGAAACTAATCTGGAAATCTTCGTCACTCAGCCTGCATCAACAACAAAATTCAGATTTTCAATACAAATGTCAAGTCAATTCTTTTATACGGATCAGAAACTTGGCGGGTCACAAAGAATATTTCCAACAAGTTGCAGACCTTTATCAACAAATGTCTTCGTTCTATACTCAAGATCAGATGGCCGGAAAGAATCACTAGCAAGAAACTATGGGAACAAACAAACAAAACAGGAACCAATCGTCCAACAAATATCCAGGAGAAAGTGGAGATGGATTGGACACTCACTGAGGAGGCCGTTGGGTGACATCGTGCATCGGGCCAACGCTCGAGTGGAACCCGAAAGGGAAGTGGCGAGTGGGACGTCCAAGGGTGACATGGAGGAGATCGTGTGAAGAGGAGTTGAAACAGTATGGACTAACATGGATGCAGGTGAAAAGTACAGCAGAAGACAGAAACAAGTGGAGACGTGCAGTTGAAGCCCTATGTTCCACTAGGAACCCAAGGGAATAATAATAATAATAGACAAATCCCCTTGTAATTCAGTGTAATTATCCATAAATCAGGTACAGGCGTTGAGTCATTTCGATTGCACGCGTGTTTGGTCTTAAATATCAATAATAGCTTAATTCTCAATAATGTTTATACAATGTACTGAATTTTCAGTGGAGTTTATTACATGATATTTTTCTCTTCATCCAGGCAGGATCTTTAAACACAAGATCTGATTGACAGTAGATCGTGTGACACAGTTCTATCTGACCTGAAGCGCAAATCAATCCATCATATATGATATCTCTTCTCTTTCTTCTTCACGGAATACGCAACGACATTCGGTCGAATGCCAATTATATAAGAACTTCAGCAGTATATTTTGTGAACCAAAAACACCAATCAGGAAAGGTCATCTCATGTATCAGTATAAGCTGCAATCGAGAATAATGCTTCTTCTCATATTTAGTAGAAACTTGAGAATCCGCAGGTTGTAAATGTTTTAAATGCTCACCGGGGTAAACTATATAATTCAAAGTCACATTTTACAAACTGATTGAGTAGATATATGTGTAAATGTGAATATGTGAGTGAGTAGAATTGTATGTAGTATTTTGATTGGACACTAGTAACTAGTGCGACGTGTCTAGTCTTTTTTTGGAAGCAGACTGAATTCTGTCAGTCAGTCAGGTTTGCAATATCGCCAGCATTCTAGGTAGCTCACCATCACGGTGCACATTGATTTCATGATATTGGATAGTTGGAATCCGAATAGCTCAGTGGTAACATCTCTGACTGATTACAGCACTGGATGACGCAGGTTGGAATCTCAGAAGCGACATGAGTTCCTTCAAGGTTTCAGATACGCCTTGCTGACTGGTGAGTGCCAACTCACACGAAACCTACGTCCAAGGCTTCCTGCCGATTGCCTCCAACTATCCAATATCTGCAGTATATTGATAAAGGTCATCGGTAGTCCAGTTTCTAGGCAGGCCGCCATATAGTTGATTCGATGAACACATATTAAGTGATTAACCTCTCTCTCTCTGTCCACCTAACTATATTACTTTTTAATGCTTTCACCCTGGTCCCTCCCCCCCTATTGTGTGATGATTACATGCAAATGAATTCATTTCAATGGCCAGGCTTTATACCAGGTTACTTAACTTAGCAGGGTAAATCATCCTAGGTTAAGCTAAATCCCTATGTTCCGATAATCTAACTGACCTCACTTACAGTCGTTGCATGTTATTTAGTATATCATATTGTTTTTATTAATTGCATCTATCTACCCGACAAAGTTTGTCTCTGAATGAGGTGGTTGGTTCAAATGCCATCCTAATTCCAGTATCACTAGGAATTAATATTCCAGACAAAGGAATTTAGCTATGTGTAGAATGACTGACACTACTTAGTTAAATAACGTAAAAAAACAAACTCAAGCACTGAAATGCATTCACACAATAGAGTGGGACAGGGTGAAAGTATTGAAAAGGAATATAGATAGATGAGGAGAGAGGTTAATCACTGAATCTGTGTTTATCAAATCAACACCAAACACGTGCAATCGAAATGACGCAGCGCCTTTACCAGCGATATGGAAAATTACAATGAATAATAACACGGGCAAGAGAAAACAAAATCAACTTATCTAAAATGGAATTATACTCTACCCCAGTGCACATATTCTACGCATACATTAATGTTACCACTAAGTCTGTTCCAAGGACTTTGAACTTTAGGGTAGCTAGAGTTACTATCATTCCTATCTCCTTGGGTTCCACGTGGAATATGAGGCTTCACTAGCACTCTATTCTCTCTGCAGACCTTTTTATTTGACTTCATGGTTGCACGTAACGCTTTTACTTGCTCAAGTAGCTAGCCAGAAATCAGGTGATTAACACTGATTCAGATCTCTGAGTTGAGTCAGACCTCGTACACCACTGATGACCCCGATCCGAAACGAGAGAGACAGCTTTCCCATGTTTATATCACTTCGATCTGGCTAGCAAGCACTACTAGCTGATGTCAGTGGTGTACAACTAGTCGTGTGTAGCTTGAATGTTTACTGTTATCAGAAAACTTTAAACGTCAAAATGTTCCTTTCTATAGTTGGCTTGTAAGGATTAGTTTTTTTACTTTTAGGAGTTGGTCGCGGATTGATATCAGTTAGAGAACCATTGAAAACCAGTAGTGGAGTAATGGACAATTGTTTCATGATAGTTTGGGAGTCATAAGTAGTACGCACCCACTGGGTTTGAACCCTGGACTTTCCGGTTACAAGGCAAGCTTGTATACCATTCAGCCACTGGGACCTGATTCAATGACCAGCCCATGAATTCTAACTTCTACCAATTCGTGATTCATTTAGCGCGACCACCAATCAATATCATCGGTGAGACATCCATCCTCACACACTTGACTGGATGGACCTCACTGGTCACGACTTCTCACTAGAATTCCAGGGAACTCCATCCTGTAGCAAGTCACTAGCGGGCATCAGATTAATTTTCTATAGTTTGGTTTGTAAGGATTAGTTTTCAATGGTTCTCTAACTGATATCAATCCGTGATCAACTCATAAAAACGAAATGCTCTTTATCAAATGATATATCAGTAAGACAGCTATACAGATATATGAAAATTATCGATAATATGCATGAACAAACAAAAGTTATTTTCAGTTGGTTTATGAACAGAATTTATTCAAAATGATTCTTAAATTCTATCGTCTAGTTTGTTACACTCTAATTACTCTCAATCTGAAATTGATACATTACAGTGTTGGCGTTAAAATTAGATTCCTGATATGAAACTTTTTATTTGGACAGGCAGAATGTTAGACATAATAGTAGTGATAAGTTAACAATCAGAGACATGACAGATGAGGAAAAACCTTCAGCGATCAGAATAACAATTGAGGCATATTCAAGCAGCTAAATGTCAGAGTTGTGAGCCGTAACTAGTTGCAATTCGTCAAATAAATGTGCCTATATACAAACAACAAATCCACTTATCCATCTTACATTGATGGATTAAAATTCAAACACGAATATCAAGTAACTGAAAGGTATCTGACCGACCGATCGTAGGCTCCTATCTCTTCATGGAGTGGTCAGGCTTGTACTCCGTGTAATGACCCAATGAGCTACAGTGTGTCTTGAACTAATCTTCCTGTCGGGTGTAACATGCCAGAAAGGTTGTTTGAATAAAGGATTAGACTAAAACAGTTGCCGTTACACTGTAAGTCATTTACACTATACTTCGGGTGTTTGTGATCGAAGTCGTACTGTTTGTGTTTAGGAATGAACCAGTAGTAAGGTGGTTACCTGAGAGGACTCATATGCCAGCTGTGTGTCCTTTCTACAAAAAAACAACAATTGAGCAAAGAATATCCTTTTCGATAATTTCCTCTTCTGGCTCTACAATTATATATATATATGTTTATATACATCGAATATTCTAGAATTGTAGTCACTAAAAATATTACAAACAAATACAAACACAATCTAATAAAGTGCTT